TTCCCATTTTTTCCCCATTATTTTCCCCCCATTTCTCCCTTTTTTTCCCATTTTTTTCCTTTTCCCCCCATTTTTTCCTTTTATTCCCTATTTTTCCCATTTCTTTCCCATTTTCCTTTTTTTTTCATTTTTTCCGCTTTTTTCCCCCCATTTCCCCCCATTTTTCCCATTTGTTTCCCCATTTTTCCCATTTTCCCTCCATTTTTTCCCATTTTTTCCCCATTTCTTTCCCATTTTCCCCATTTTTTCCCCACTTTTTCCCATTTCCCCCATTTGTTTCTTTCCCATTTCTTTCCCATTTTTCCCATTTTCCCCGTGTTTTTCCCCATTTCCCCACTTTTCCCATTTTCCCCGTGTTTTTCCCCAGAACAAGAAGAAGAAGCCCAAAGCCCCGGCCCCGCCCGGCCCCTCCCCCCCGGCCCCGGGGCCGCAGGAAAAGCTGGAAAAGTTGGGAAATTTGGGAAACTTGGAGAATTCGGGAATGGCCATCAATGGTTTCCATGGCAACCGCGCCCCCAGCCTGGAGTCGCTGCCCGAGGCGGGGGCAGCGCAGCGAGGTCGGGAATGCGGGAATGCGGGGGGAAATCTGGGAATTTGGGAGGAAATTTGGGATTTTGGGAGGGAAATCTGGGAATTTGGGGGGAAAAATCGGGATTTTTGGGGGGAATTTGGGATTTTTGGGGTAAAATCCAGGAATCTGAGGGGAAAAAATTGGGAATTTTGGGGGCAAACTTGGGAATTTGATGGAAATCTGGGAATTTGGGGGGAAAAATCGGGATTTTTGGGGGGAATTTGGGATTTTTGGGGTAAAATCCAGGAATCTGAGGGGAAAAAATTGGGAATTTTGGGGGCAAACTTGGGAATTTGATGGAAATCTGGGAATTTGGGGGGGGAATTTGGGGGAAAATTGGGGTTTTGGGGGGGAAAATTTGGGAATGGGGGGAAAATCCAGAATTTTGGGGGTGGGATTGGAGGGAAAATTGGGAATTCTGGGGGAAAATGGGAATTTTGGGGGGAAAAGTGGGATTTTTGGATGAAAATCTGGGATTTTGAAGGGAATTTTGGGGGGATTTTGGGGGAATTTGGGATTTCGAAGGGAATTTTGGGGTTTTGGTGGAAATGCGGGAATTTGGGGTGGGATTTTCCCGGAATTCTGGATTTTGCCAGCCCTGGGCAATGGAATTGCAGCCTCGGGTGCCCCGAGCCAGGGCCGGAGCCTCCGCAGCAGCCCCGGCTCCCCCGCGGGCCGGAAACTGGGTGAGGAAATGGGGGAAAAATTTTCCTCAATTTTTCCCCAATTTTCCCCCCCAGTTTCCCCAATTTTTCCCAGTTTCTCAGGATTTTTTTTCCCTTTTTCCCCAATTTTCCCCATTTTCCCACAATTTCTTCCGCACTTTTTCCTGATTGAAACATTCTTTTTCCCAATTTTCCCCAGTTTTTTTCCCTGATTAAAACATGGATTTTTTCCCCCTTTCCCCCAGTTTTTTACCTTATTTTTCCTGATTAAAACCTGAATTTTCCCCCCATTTTTCCCCATTTGTTTCCCATTTTTTCCCCATTATTTTCCCCCCATTTCTCCCTTTTTTTCCCCTTTTTTTCCTTTTCCCCCCATTTTTTCCTTTTATTCCCTATTTTTCCCATTTCTTTCCCATTTTCCTTTTTTTTTCATTTTTTCCGCTTTTTTCCCCCCATTTCCCCCCATTTTTCCCATTTGTTTCCCCATTTTTCCCATTTTCCCTCCATTTTTTCCCATTTTTTCCCCATTTCTTTCCCATTTTCCCCATTTTTTCCCCACTTTTTCCCATTTCCCCCATTTGTTTCTTTCCCATTTCTTTCCCATTTTTCCCATTTTCCCCGTGTTTTTCCCCATTTCCCCACTTTTCCCATTTTCCCCGTGTTTTTCCCCAGAACAAGAAGAAGAAGCCCAAAGCCCCGGCCCCGCCCGGCCCCTCCCCCCCGGCCCCGGGGCCGCAGGAAAAGCTGGAAAAGTTGGGAAATTTGGGAAACTTGGAGAATTCGGGAATGGCCATCAATGGTTTCCATGGCAACCGCGCCCCCAGCCTGGAGTCGCTGCCCGAGGCGGGGGCAGCGCAGCGAGGTCGGGAATGCGGGAATGCGGGGGGAAATCTGGGAATTTGGGAGAATCAGTTAAAAAGTCAGGAATAAAAAGGGGAAATTGTGGGGAAAATCAGGGAAAAATCGCAAAAAATCAAGAAAAAATGGGGGGGAAAATGGGGGAAAATGAGGAAAACTCAGGAAAAATTAGGGAAAAATTGGGAAAAATCAGTTAAAAAGTCAGGAATAAAAAGGGGAAATTGTGGGGAAAATCAGGGAAAAATCGCAAAAAATCAAGAAAAAGATTGGGAAAAAATTGGAAAAATCAGGAAACTCAGGAAAAAATAGGGAAAAATGAGTAAAAATCAGGAAACATTGGAAACAATTAGGGAAAAAATCAGGGGAAAAATTGGAAAATTATAGGAAAAATCAGGAAAAAAATCACAACAAATCAAGAAAAAACTTGGGAAAAATTGGAAAAAAATGGGAAAAAACCAGGGAACGTCTGTGGGGCCCTGGGGTTGTTTTCCAATCCCTTTTTTCCCATTTCCCCCCTTTTTTCCCCCATTTTGGCCTGCAGGGCCCAGCCTGGAGCGCTCCCTGAAGGATCTGCAGCGCTGCTCCGTGGCCCTGGCGCGCTTCAGGGCCCTGCTCAGGGACGAGGTGGAGAGCTCCCTCAGGAGGGTCCGGGGCGCCTTCGGGGAGATCCAGAGCTGGTAGGGGAAAAATGGGGAAAAAATGGGAAATTTGGGGAAAAAAAAAAAAAAAATGGGGAAAATCGGGGGAAAAATGGGGAAAAATGAGAGAAAAAGGGGAAAAAAAGGGGATTTTGGGGGTGGGGATGGAGCTCCCTCAGGAGGGTCCGGGGCGCCTTCGGGGANGAAAAATCGGGGGGGAAATGGGAAAAATCTGGGAAAAAATAGGAATTCTGGGGGGGAAAATGGGGGAAAAATGGGAATTCTGGGTGGGAATATGGGAATTCTGGGGGGAAAAATGGGAGTTCTGGAGTGAAAAATGGGAATTTTGTGGGGAAAAAAGGGAATTTTTGGGGGGAAATGGGAATTTTGGGGGTTCTGGAAAAGCTGGAGCCACCTGGGACAGGGCCATGACAGGAAAATGGAATTTGGGGGGAATTTGGTGGGATTTGGGGCCGGAATTCCCCGGGAATTCCCTGGGAATGGCCCCGCCCCTTTCCCAGCCCAAATTCCCGTTTTTCCCTGGGCTCAGGGCGCCCCCTGGCGGCGCTTCCCGCCCCTCCCCCTTCCCCTTTTCCCATTTTTCCCTTTTTTTCCCATTTTTTCCCATTTTTTTCCCATTTTTTCCCTGTTTTTCCCCTCTGCAGCCTCATGGACCGGGAGGTGGCTCTGCTGGCCGAGATGGACAAAGTCAAGGCAGAAGCAAGTGAGGAGAATTCCCAAAATTCCCACTTTTGTTCCCATTTTCTGTGGTGCTGCTCTCCCTGCAGCAGCGCCGGGCTGCAATTCCCAGAGTTTATCCCAAATTCCCAGAGTTTATCCCAAATTCCCGATATTTTATCCCAAATTCCTAATGTTTTTTTCTCCAATTCCCAGAGTTTATCCCAAATTCCCAATGTTCTATCCCAAATTCCTGATGTTTATTCCCAAATTCCTGATTTTTTTATCCCAAATTCCCAGTGTTTATCCCAAATTCCCGCTGTTTTACCCAATTTTTATCCCATTTTTGTCCCGTTTATCCCATTTTTCCCCGTTTTTCCCCCATTCCTGTCCCCAGTGGATCTCCTGTCCCTGCGGCAGCGGCGCGCCGGGATCCCCGGTGGTTTTTCCCAAATCCCCAGTGTTTTCCCCCATTTTTCCCCATTTCCCAGTGGACCTGCTGTCCCTGCGGCAGCGGCGCGCCGGGATCCCCGGTGGTTTTTCCCAAATCCCCAGTGTTTTCCCCCATTTTTCCCCATTTCCCAGTGGACCTGCTGTCCCTGCGGCAGCGGCGCGCCGGGATCCCCAGTGTTTTATCCCGTTTTTGTCCCATTTTACCCCATTTTTCCCCCACTTTCCAGTGGATCTGCTGTCCCTGCGGCAGCGGCGCGCCGGGATCCCCGCTGTTTTACCCCATTTTTTCCCGTTTTCCCCATTTTTCCCCCATTTCCCCCCCAGTGGATCTCCTGTCCCTGCGGCAGCGGCGCGCCGGGATCCCCGCTGTTTTTTCCCGTTTTTTCCCATTTTTCCCCCATGTCTGTCCCCAGTGGATCTGCTGTCCCTGCGGCAGCGGCGCGCCGGGATCCCCGCTGTTTTACCCCATTTTTTCCCGTTTTCCCCTGTTTTTCCCCCATTTCTGTCCCCAGTGGACCTGCTGTCCCTGCGGCAGCGGCGCGCCGAGGCGCTGCGCGCTCTGACCGAGGCGGCCCCGGGGATGTCGGAGGAGCAGCTGCAGGAGCTGAGAGCTGACATCAAGGTGGGACGGCCCGGGATCCCGGAATCCCTGACACAAATCCTGTGGGAATCCTGATCCAAATCCTGTGGGAATTCCTGACCCAATCCCTGGGAATCCCTGACCTAAATCCTGTGGGAATTCCTGACCCCATCCCTGGGAATTCCTGACCCAATCCCAGGGAATCCCTGACCCAATCCCAGGGAATTCTCACCTCATCCCCTGGGCATTTCCCTCCCATTCCCCCGGAATTCCCATTTTCCCTGCCCCACCCCCCAGAATTCCCATTTTCCCTGCCCATTTTCCCCCAGAATTCCCGTTTTCCCTGCCCCACCCCCCGGAATTCCCACTTTCCCCCCGTGTTTCCCAGCACTTTGTGAGCGAGCGCAAGTTCGATGAGGAGCTGGGCCGGGCCGGGCGCTTCGGCTGCGACCTGGAGGCGCTGCGGGGCAGCATCGGCGCCTTCGGCCAGGGTGGGTCTGGGAAACTGGGAAAAACTGGGAAAAATCCTGGGAATCTGCCCTGGGAATGTGCCCGAGGCGCTGCGGGGCAGCATCGGCGCCTTCGGCCAGGGTGGGTCTGGGAAACTGGGAAAAATGGGAAAAACTGCCCTGGGAATGTGCCTGAGGGGCAGCATCGGCGCCTTCGGCCAGGGTGGGTCTGGGAAATGGGGGAAAAATCCCGGGAAAAATCCTGGGAAAAATCGCATGGGAATGGCCCCAGGAATGGCCCCGGCCTTCGGGCAGGGTCGGTCTGGGGAAAACGGAAACAAATGGGAAAAACCTGGGAAAATCCCGTGGGAATTTCTTCTGATGCAACCAGGGCTGGTCTGGGGTCTCCCACCTGGAGCCCGGCCCCATTCCCAGTGCTCCCAGTCCCATTCCCAGTCCCATTCCCATTAATCCCAATCCCAGTATTCCCAGTATTCCCAGTCCCTCTCTCCTCCCAGTCCCATTCCCAGTCCCATTCCCATTAATCCCAATCCCATTCCCAGTATTCCCAGTGCTCCCAGTATTCCCAGTCCCTCTCTCTGCAGTTTCCCACCCCAGGCCGAGCTATTCCAGCCGCTCCCGCTGCAGCTCCGGGCCCGGGGCAACGGGAACGGGAACGGGAACGGGATCAACCATGGGATCGGCCCCAGGATCGGCCCCGGCGTTCCCGGCGGGATCGGCCCCGGGATCCCCCCCCATGCCGAGCTATTCCAGCCGCTCCCGCTGCAGCTCCGGGCCCGGGGCAACGGGAACGGGAACGGGACCGGGATCAACAACGGGATCAACCACGGGACCAGGAACGGGATCGGGAACGGGATCAACCACGGGATCGGCCCCGGCGTTCCCGGCGGGATCGGCCCCAGGATCCCCCCCGGCACCCCCGGAATTCCCCCCGGGATCGGCCCCGGGACCCCCCGAGGGCAGCGCGGCCCCAACGGAGCCACCCCCGACCCCACAGGTGGGAACGGGACAGCGGGGGGGGGTTGGGATTGGGATTGGGTTTGGGGTTTGGGGTTTGGGGTTTGGGGTTTGGGATTGGGAAAAGGATTTGAGGTTTGGGATTGGGAAAAGGATTTGGGGTTTGGGGTTTGGGATTGGGATTGGGAAAAGGGTTTGGGGTTTGGGGTTGGGATTGGGAAAAGGATTTGGGGTTTGGGGTTTAGGATCGGGATCGGGATTGGGATTTGGGATCGGGAACAGGATCGGGGTGGGATTTGGGATGGGGAACAGGATTTGGGATGGAATTTGGGCTGAGGATTGGGATTTGGGCTGAGGTTTGGGATTTGGGCTGAGGTTTGGGATTGGGAGTTTCGGGATTTGGATGGGGAGCAGGACAGGGGGAATAGGATCAGGATTGGGGTCAGGATCGGGATGGGATTTGGGATTGGGAACAGGGACAGGATTGGGATGGGGTTTGGGATTGGGGGGAATGGGATCAGGATTGGGGTCAGGTTCAGGTTTGGGATTGGGAATGTTGAGTTCAGGATTGGGGTGTCTGGGAATGGGAATGTTGGGATGCAGGGTCTGGGATGGCGGGATCGGGATTGGGATCGGGATCGGGATCGGGATTGGGATCGGGATCGGAGGGGCTGGGGCTGGGATTTGGGATCCAGGTTCTCCCCCCTTTTCTCTCCCACCCCTCCCAGAATTTGGCAATTCAGGGTTTTCCTCTGGGACTGGGATTTGGGCACTTCCACTTCCCAGGATTTGGGATCTGGGATCATTTCCCGGGATTTGGGATTTGGGGTCATTTCCCGGGATTTGGGGTCATTTCCCAGGATTTGGTCGGGGACCCCAAATCCCCCGGGGACCCCAGAGGCGCCCGGAGCCGCCCCGGCCCCCGCAGGAGCCGCCCCGAGGGGGCCAATTCCTGAGACCCCCCCCAAAATTTGGGGTCGGGATTTGGGGTCCCATCCCGGGAACGTTTACAGCTCCCCCTTGGTGCCATTTCCCCCCTTTTTTTCCCAATTTTTCCCATTTTTTCCCCTTTTTCCCATTTTTTTCCCCCTTTTTTCTGTTTTTCCCCATTTTTTCCTTCTTTCCCCCCCTCTTTTCCCGTGTTTTTCCCTCTGGGATTTTTGGGGTTTGGTTTTGTCCCAATCCTGGAATTTTTCCCCCCAAAATTCCCGAAATCCCAACCCCGACCTCGCGCTGGCAGCGAGGGAAGAGCCGGGATTTTGGGAATGGGGGGAAAAATTTGGGATTTTGGGGGGGAAATTTGGGATTTTGGGGCCTCCCAAAATCTGGGATGTCCCCCTGGAATTTGGGATGTCCCTTCCTGACCCCAAAATTTGGGAATTTTTCCTTTGGGATTTGGGATTTCCCCCCCAGAATTTGGGATTTCCATTTGGGATTTGGGATTTTCCCCTTTGGGATTTGGGATTTTCCTCTGGAATTTGGGATTTCCCCCCAGAATTTGGGATTTCCCATTTGGAATTTGGGATTTTCCCTCTGGAATTCGGGGTCTCCCCCCTCCCTTTCCATTTGAGATTTGGGATTTCCTTTTCTCTGGAATTTATTTCCGGTCCCATTTTTTTCCCCCTTTTTTCTGTTTTTCCCCATTTTTTCCTTCTTTCCCCCCCTCTTTTCCCGTGTTTTTCCCTCTGGGATTTTTGGGGTTTGGTTTTGTCCCAATCCCGGAATTTTTCCCCCCAAAATTCCCAAAATCCCAACCCCGACCTCGCGCTGGCAGCGAGGGAAGAGCCGGGATTTTGGGAATGGGGGGAAAAATTTGGGATTTTGGGGGGGAAATTTGGGATTTTGGGGCCTCCCAAAATCTGGGATGTCCCCCTGGAATTTGGGATGTCCCTTCCTGACCCCAAAATTTGGGAATTTTTCCTTTGGGATTTGGGATTTCCCCCCAGAATTTGGGATTTCCCATTTGGAATTTGGGATTTTCCCTTTGGGATTTCCCCCCAGAATTTGGGATTTCCATTTGAGATTTGGGATTTCCCATTTGGAATTTGGGATTTTCCCTCTGGAATTCGGGGTCTCCCCCCTCCCCCCACCACACTCCAGCATTTTTGGATTTTCTCTGGAATTTATTTCCGGAATTTCCTCCCCTCCCCAAACCCCAATCCCAGCCCCAAATTTTTGGGAATTTTGGGGAATTTTCCCTTTTTCTCCCCCCTTTTTTTTTCCCAAATTTTGGTTTTTTTGGGAATTTTTTCCCCTCCACGAACGAAAACTTGAGAACAAATCCAATAAAAACTTTGGAGCTTTAAAAAATCGGGAATTTTCTTTGGAAGGCGCCGAAATTTGGGATTTGGGGGGGGGGAATCCCAAAATTTTGGGATTGGGGGGAAATTTTGGGGCAATTCCAAGGAAATTCAGCCCTTGGGGGGGGGGAGCCCAGCCCCAAACTGGGAGCACTGGGAGGGCCCCAGCCCCAAACTGGGAGCACTGGGAGGGTCCCAATCCCAAACTGGGAGCACTGGGAGGGCCCCAGCCCCAAACTGGTGCCACACTGGTGTCACTGGGACAATCCCAGTCCCGTACTGGTTTGTACTGGTGTTACTGGTCAGCTCCCAGTCCCAAACTGGTGTCAGTGGGAGGTCACTGGGACAGTCCCAGTCCCAAACTGGTTTGTACTGGTGTGGCACTGGGACAGTCCTGTACTGGTTTATACTGGTTTGTGTCACTGGTGGCCGAGGCGTGCAGGGTGGCACTGGGACAGCCCAGACTGGTTTATACTGGTTCATACTGGTGTCCCTGGTGTTACTGGGACAGTTCCAGTCCCATACTGGTTTATACTGGTGTGTCACTGGTGGCCGAGGTGCGCAGGGTGGCACTGGGACAGCCCAGACTGGTTTATACTGGTCTGTACTGGTGTCACTGGTGGCCGAGGCGCGCGGGGTGGTTCACACTGTCTCACACTGGTTTATACTGGTTCATACTGGTTTATACTGGTGTGTCACTGGTGGCCGAGGCGCGCGGGGTGCACTAGAACAGCCCAGACTGGTTCATACTGGTTTATACTGGTTCATACTGGTTTATACTGGTGTGTCACTGGTGGCCGAGGTGCGCGGGGTGCACTAGAACAGCCCAGACTGGTTCACACTGGTTCATACTGGTTTGAACTGGTTCATACTGGTGTCACTGGTGGCCGAGGCGCGCGGGGTGCACTAGGACAGTCCCAGACTGGTTTGAACTGGTTTATACTGGTTTATACTGGTGTGTCACTGGTGGCCGAGGCGCGCGTCCCCCCAAATCCCCCCCCAGGACCCCTGGGAGCCCCCCGGGCCCTCCCCAGGCCCCCAGCCCACCTCGACCACGGAGTTGTTGCAGAGTTTCCATTTGCTGCCCCCCAGCACCGGGCGGCCGTCGATGAAGATCGGCCGCCGGCCCTCGTTGGCGATGAAGAATTCCCCGTTGTTCTTCAGCTTGATCACCCCTGGAAGGGGAAAATCCGGGGATTTCGGGGCATTCCCAAAAATCCCAAAGGGTTCTGGATCAGCCCCGGGGGTTCGGAGGGGTTAAAGGGGTGGGGGAGGAGGATGTGATAGAAAAACCTCTGCAGCTCCCCCCCGGTTTATACTGGTTTATACTGGTGTGTCACTGGTGGCCGAGGCGCGCGGCCTCGCTGCGGATCAGCGCGATCAGCTCGTGGTTGATCAGGAACACGAAGCGGAGGCTGGCGATCTGGGGGAGGGGTGAGACCCCTGCCCAAAGCCAGGGACCCCTCCCCAAAACCCCCCAAATCCCACAGACCCCCCCAAAATCCTGAGACCCCCAGAGACCCCTCCCCAAATCCCACAGACCCTCCCCAAAATCCCCCCAAATCCAGAGACCCCTGCCCAAAACCAGGGACCCCTCCCCAAAAAAATACCCAGACTCCCTTTGAAGACCTCCAAAACCCCTGAGGGACCCCAAAAAAGCCCAAATCCCCCCCAAAAAACCCAAAAGCCCCCCGAAAAAACCCCAAGAGCCCCCCAAAAAAATCCAAATCCCCCCCAGATCACCCCGAGACTCCTCGAAAAACCTCAGCAACACCCCCCCAAAACCCCCCAAAAAAACCCCCAAAACTCAAAAAATCCCCCCAAAACCTCCCCAAACTCCCTGTGAAGACCCCCAAAATCCCTGGGGGACTCCAAAAAACCCCAAATCCCCCCCAAAAAACCCCAAAAGACACCCAAAAACCCCAAATCCCCCCAAGATCCCTCCCTCCAAAAACCTCCGCAACTCCTCCCTAAAAACCCCAAAAAAACCCCCAAAAACCTCCCCAACCCCCCTGTGAAGACCCCCAAAACCCCCGGGGGACCCCAAAAACCCCAAATCCCCCCCAGATCCCCCCCAAGCCCACCCTGCTTGCGGGAGATCTTCCAGGCCGGGCCCTCCAGAGCCAGGTCCACGTCGATCTGGTTGTCCTTGGTGGCTCTGCCCAGGGTGATCTGGGGGGGTTTGGGGTTTTTTGGGGGGGTTTGGGGTTTTTGGGGTCCCCCAGGGGGTCTGGGGGGTCCTCACAGGGGGTTTGGGGACGTTTTTGGGGTTTTTGAGGGGAATTGTTGAGAACTTTGGAGGGGTCTCAGGGTGATCTGGGGGGGTTGGGGTTTTTTGCGGGTTTTTTTTCTGGGTTTTTGGGCGGATTTGGGGTTTTTTTTGGATTTTGGGGGCGGGGGTTGGGGTTTTTGGGGTCTCCCAAAGGTTTTGGGGGGTCCTCACAGGGGGTTTGGTGAGGTTTTTGGGGTGTTTTTGAGATGGTTTTGGGGGATATTTTTGGGGATATTTCTGGGGCGTTTTTGGGATGTTTTGGGGAATGTTTTGGGGTGGTTTGGGGTGGTTTTGGGGTGTTTTTGGGATGGTTTTGGGGTGTTTTGGGGGATGTTTTGGGGTGGTTTTGGGGTGTTTTGGAGGATGATTTTGGGGATATTTTTGGGGTGGTTTAGGGGATGTTTTTGTGGTGTTTTTTGGGGTGTTTTCGGGGTGTTTCTAGGGATATTTCTGGGGTGGTTTTGGGGTGTTTTGGGGGATATTTTTGGTGTATTTTTGGGGCTATTTCTGGGGTATTTCTGGGGTGTTTTTGGGGTGGTTTTAGGGTATTTTTGGGGTCGCACCTCGCGGGAGCGCATCAGGTACCGAACCATCCGACCCCGCAGCACGGCCAGAGTCTGACTGTCGAAATCCGGGGAGCTCATCCCTGCGACAGACGGACAGACGGACAGTGAGGGGACACACAGGGACAGACGGACAGACGGACGCTCAGGGGACAGCCAGGGGACAGAGGGACAGACAGACAGGGGACACTCGGGGCTGTCAGGGGACAATGAGAGGGGACACACGGGGACAGACGGATGGACAGGGAGCCGGACACGGGGAGGGACAGAGAGACCCAGGGATGGACAGACAGACAGACGGACGGACGGACGGCCGGGGCCCACCTGTGATGGAGTCCACCAGCACCTGCCAGCGGTGCAGCTCCTGCTCCAGCTGCCGGATCTCGCGCTTCTGCCGCCGGTCAGCCACGGTCAGCTCTGACAGACGGACACACAGACAGACAGACAGAGATCAGCCACGGTCAGCTCTGACAGACGGACACACAGACAGACAGACAGACAGGGTCAGCCCCGGTCAGCTCTGACAGACAGACAGACAGACAGACAGACAGGGTCAGCCACGGTCAGCTCTGACAGACGGACAGACAGACAGACAGACAGACAGGGTCAGCCACGGTCAGCTCTGACAGACGGACACACAGACAGACAGACAGATGGGCCCCAAATCCCCTCAAAATGGGCCCCAAATCCTCCCCAAAACATGTCCCAAATATCCCCAAAAATGAGCCCCAAATCCCCTAAAAATGAGCCCCAAATCCCCCAAAAATGTACCTGAAATCCCCCAAAAATGTACCTGAAATCCCCCCAAAATGAGCCCCAAATCCCCTCAAAAATGAGCCCCAAATCCCCCCCAAATTTTCCCCCTCACCCCAAAATTCAGGACAGATCCTTCAGCCTCGCTCTGCCTTTATTGGGGGTCCCTGATTTTGGGGGATTTCTGGGTGGATTTTTGGGATATTTCTGGGGTATTTCTGGGGGGTTTTTTGGGGTGGTTTTATGGACTTTTTGGGGACGCACCTCGCGGGAGCGCATCACCTACCGAACCCTTCGACCCCGCAGCACGGCCAGAGTCTGACTGTCGAAATCCGGGGAGCTCATCCCTGGGGACAGACGGACAGACGGACAGTGAGGGGACACACAGGGACAGACGGACAGGCGGACGCTCAGGGGACAGACAGGGGACAGAGGGACAGACAGACAGGGGACACTCGGGGCTGTCAGGGGACAATGAGAGGGGACACACGGGGACAGACGGATGGACAGGGAGCCGGACACGGGGAGGGACAGAGAGACCCAGGGATGGACAGACAGACAGACGGACGGACGGCCGGGGCCCACCTGTGATGGAGTCCACCAGCACCTGCCAGCGGTGCAGCTCCTGCTCCAGCTGCCGGATCTCGCGCTTCTGCCGCCGGTCAGCCACGGTCAGCTCTGACAGACGGACAGACAGACAGACAGACAGACAGGGTCAGCCACGGTCAGCTCTGACAGACGGACACACAGACAGACAGACAGACAGGGTCAGCCACGGTCAGCTCTGACAGACAGACAGACAGACAGAGATCAGCCACAGTCAGCTCTGACAGACGGACAGACAGACAGACAGACAGACAGACAGGGTCAGCCACGGTCAGCTCTGACAGACGGACAGACAGACAGACAGACAGACAGGGTCAGCTCTGACAGACAGACAGACAGACAGAGATCAGCCACAGTCAGCTCTGACAGACGGACAGACAGACAGACACGGGGCTGGGGGTCCCGGGGGGTTCTGGAAGGTTCCGGGGTCTCACCGTGCTCCAGGACCTCGTCCCGCACGTCCCTGGTGGGGATCAGGGGGTGAGAGGGGACACGGAGACCCCAAAAAACCCACAAATCCCCCCCAAAAAAACCCCAAAATCCGCCAAAACAATCCTAAAACCCCCCAAAAAACCCCAAATCCCCCAAAACCCCAAAATCCCCCCCCCCAAAACCTCCCTGGGGGACCCCAAAATCCCCCCTGGGACCCCCAAATCCCCCCTGGGACCCCAAATCCCCCCTGGGACCCCCCAAATCCCCCCAGGACCCCTCCCCACCTGCAGCAGGTGCCACAGGGGCAGGAGCTGCTGCACTTTTGGGGGTCTCTGAACCTTCCAGGACCTCCCAAATCCCCTCTGAGACCCCCTAAAACCCCTCTGGGACCCCCCAAACCCGCCCCAAACCCCTCCAGGACCCTCCAAATTCCCCCTGGGACCCCCCAGAGCCCCCCAGGACCCCTCCCCACCTGTCTGGTCCTGCAGCAGGTGGTACTGGCGCAGCAGCTGCCAGTGCAGCTGCAGGGCCTTGGGGGTCCTGGCAGGGTAAAACACAGCGGGGTGGCGCTGCAGCAGCTCCTGGAAGGTGTCCAGCGAGGGCACGGGGCTCTGGGGACATTGGGGACACGTCAGGGGACACCAGGGGACACCAGGGGACACCAGGGGACACGGGGACATGGCAGAGGACATGGGGACAGGTCCTGGCAGGGTAAAACACGACCTGCAGCAGCTCCTGGAAGGTGTCCAGCGAGGGCACAGGGCTCTGGGGACACCAGGGAACATGGGGACATGGCAGAGGACATGGGGACAGGTCCTGGCAGGGTAAAACACGACCTGCAGCAGCTCCTGGAAGGTGTCCAGCGAGGGCACAGGGCTCTGGGGACACCAGGGAACATGGGGACATGGCAGAGGACATGGGGACAGGTCCTGGCAGGGTAAAACACGACCTGCAGCAGCTCCTGGAAGGTGTCCAGCGAGGGCACAGGGCTCTGGGGACACCAGGGAACATGGGGACATGGCAGAGGACATGGGGACAGGTCCTGGCAGGGTAAAACACGACCTGCAGCAGCTCCTGGAAGGTGTCCAGCGAGGGCACAGGGCTCTGGGGACACCAGGGAACATGGGGACATGGCAGAGGACATGGGGACAGGTCCTGGCAGGGTAAAACACGACCTGCAGCAGCTCCTGGAAGGTGTCCAGCGAGGGCACAGGGCTCTGGGGACACCAGGGAACATGGGGACATGGCAGAGGACATGGGGACAGGTCCTGGCAGGGTAAAACACGACCTGCAGCAGCTCCTGGAAGGTGTCCAGCGAGGGCACAGGGCTCTGGGGACACCAGGGAACATGGGGACATGGCAGAGGACATGGGGACAGGTCCTGGCAGGGTAAAACACGACCTGCAGCAGCTCCTGGAAGGTGTCCAGCGAGGGCACAGGGCTCTGGGGACACCAGGGAACATGGGGACATGGCAGAGGACATGGGGACAGGTCCTGGCAGGGTAAAACACGACCTGCAGCAGCTCCTGGAAGGTGTCCAGCGAGGGCACAGGGCTCTGGGGACACCAGGGAACATGGGGACATGGCAGAGGACATGGGGACAGGTCCTGGCAGGGTAAAACACGACCTGCAGCAGCTCCTGGAAGGTGTCCAGCGAGGGCACAGGGCTCTGGGGACACCAGGGAACATGGGGACATGGCAGAGGACATGGGGACAGGTCCTGGCAGGGTAAAACACGACCTGCAGCAGCTCCTGGAAGGTGTCCAGCGAGGGCACAGGGCTCTGGGGACACCAGGGAACATGGGGACATGGCAGAGGACATGGGGACAGGTCCTGGCAGGGTAAAACACGACCTGCAGCAGCTCCTGGAAGGTGTCCAGCGAGGGCACAGGGCTCTGGGGACACCAGGGAACATGGGGACATGGCAGAGGACATGGGGACAGGTCCTGGCAGGGTAAAACACGACCTGCAGCAGCTCCTGGAAGGTGTCCAGCGAGGGCACAGGGCTCTGGGGACACCAGGGAACATGGGGACATGGCAGAGGACATGGGGACAGGTCCTGGCAGGGTAAAACACGACCTGCAGCAGCTCCTGGAAGGTGTCCAGCGAGGGCACAGGGCTCTGGGGACACCAGGGAACATGGGGACATGGCAGAGGACATGGGGACAGGTCCTGGCAGGGTAAAACACGACCTGCAGCAGCTCCTGGAAGGTGTCCAGCGAGGGCACAGGGCTCTGGGGACACCAGGGAACATGGGGACATGGCAGAGGACATGGGGACAGGTCCTGGCAGGGTAAAACACGACCTGCAGCAGCTCCTGGAAGGTGTCCAGCGAGGGCACAGGGCTCTGGGGACACCAGGGAACATGGGGACATGGCAGAGGACATGGGGACAGGTCCTGGCAGGGTAAAACACGACCTGCAGCAGCTCCTGGAAGGTGTCCAGCGAGGGCACAGGGCTCTGGGGACACCAGGGAACATGGGGACATGGCAGAGGACATGGGGACAGGTCCTGGCAGGGTAAAACGCAGCCTGCAGCAGCTCCTGGACGGTGTCCAGTGAGGGGACAGGGCTCTGGGGACATTGGGGACACGTCAGGGGGACGTTAGGTGACATTTGGGGACACCTGGGGACAGCCCCTCACCGAGGGCACGCGGGTCAGCAGCAGGGGGTGATGTTAGGTGACACGAGGTGACATTTGGGGACACCTGGGGACAGCCCCTCACCGAGGGCACGCGGGTCAGCAGCAGGGGGTGATGTTAGGTGACACGAGGTGACATTTGGGGACATTTGGGGACATTTGGGGACAGCCCCTCACCGAGGGCACGCGGGTCAGCAGCTGCTCCTCGGCCTTGCTGAACAGGACCTTGCTCTGGATGGCGGCCACGGCCTCGGGGTGCAGCTGGCGCATGGCCTGGCACGAGTGCCTGGGGACACGTGGGACACGTGTGACATGTGTGACATGTGTGACACCCCTGGGACACCCCTGGGACAGCCAACCCCTCAGGGACAGCCCCATGGCCTGGCACGAGTGCCTGGGGACATTGGGGACATTGGGGACAGTGGGGACATTGGGGTCACCCCTGGGACACCCCTAGGACAGTGCCATGGCCTGGCGTGACAGCTTGGGGACACAGGTGACACTGCTGGAATTGTCCCCAAATCCTCAGGGACACCCCAATTGGCCCGCGAGGACTTGGCCAGGCTGCTCTCCACCAGCTCGTCATCGAACTTGCGCCTCTTGATGAACCTGGAATGGACTGGGATTGACTGGGAGCCACTGGGAGCCACTGGGAGAGCAGCTCAGGGCACTGGGAACCAGTATGGTTAACTGGGATTAACTGGGAGGGACTGGGGCCCTGGGCCAGGCTGCTCTCCACCAGCTCGTCATCGAACTTCCTCCTTTTAATGAACCTGGAACCGACTGGGATTGACTGGGAGCCACTGGGAGACAGCTGGGAACCAGTATGGTTAACTGGGAGGGACTGGGAGGGACTGGGAGGGACTGGGATGGACTGGGGCCCTGGGCCAGGCTGCTCTCCACCAGCTCGTCATCGAACTTCCTCCTTTTAATGAACCTGGAACCGACTGGGATTGACTGGGAGCCACTGGGAGACAGCTGGGAACCAGTATGGTTAACTGGGAGGGACTGGGAGGGACTGGGATGGACTGGGAGGGACTGGGGCCCTGGGCCAGGCTGCTCTCCACCAGCTCGTCATCGAACTTCCTCCTTTTAATGAACCTGGAACCGACTGGGATTGACTGGGAGGGACTGGGAGACAGCTGGGAACCAGTATGGTTAACTGGGAGGGACTGGGAGGGACTGGGATGGACTGGGAGGGACTGGGGCCCTGGGCCAGGCTGCTCTCCACCAGCTCGTCATCGAACTTCCTCCTTTTAATGAACCTGGAACCGACTGGGATTGACTGGGAGGGACTGGGAGACAGCTGGGAACCAGTATGGTTAACTGGGAGGGACTGGGAGGGACTGGGATGGACTGGGAGGGACTGGGGCCCTGGGCCAGGCTGCTCTCCACCAGCTCGTCATCGAACTTCCTCCTTTTAATGAACCTGGAACCGACTGGGATTGACTGGGAGGGACTGGGAGACAGCTGGGAACCAGTATGGTTAACTGGGAGGGACTGGGAGGGACTGGGATGGACTGGGAGGGACTGGGGCCCTGGGCCAGGCTGCTCTCCACCAGCTCGTCATCGAACTTCCTCCTTTTAATGAACCTGGAACCGACTGGGATTGACTGGGAGGGACTGGGAGACAGCTGGGAACCAGTATGGTTAACTGGGAGGGACTGGGAGGGACTGGGATGGACTGGGAGGGACTGGGGCCCTGGGCCAGGCTGCTCTCCACCAGCTCGTCATCGAACTTCCTCCTTTTAATGAACCTGGAACCGACTGGGATTGACTGGGAGGGACTGGGAGACAGCTGGGAACCAGTATGGTTAACTGGGAGGGACTGGGAGGGACTGGGATGGACTGGGAGGGACTGGGGCCCTGGGCCAGGCTGCTCTCCACCAGCTCGTCATCGAACTTCCTCCTTTTAATGAACCTGGAACCGACTGGGATTGACTGGGAGGGACTGGGAGACAGCTGGGAACCAGTATGGTTAACTGGGAGGGACTGGGAGGGACTGGGATGGACTGGGAGGGACTGGGGCCCTGGGCCAGGCTGCTCTCCACCAGCTCGTCATCGAACTTCCTCCTTTTAATGAACCTGGAACCGAACGGCCCGGAACCGCGGCACGGCCGGCGGCGGCCGCGCGCGCCGGAAGAACCCCAGCTGCGGAGAGAGGGGGGGATCGCGACATGGCACCCGATACAGGGAGGTATCGCGATATGCCATGCTGTATCATGCCGCTCCCGCGGGATGCGCACGGCCCGGAACCGCGGCACGGCCGGCGGCGGCCGCGCGCGCCGGAAGAACCCCAGCTGCGGAGAGAGGGGGGGATCGCGACATGGCACCCGATACAGGGAGGTATCGCGATATGCCATGCTGTATCATGCCGTGTCACGACATGCTGCACCGTGTTGTGCTATATCGCGATATGCCGCGCTCCGTGGTGCCATATCGCGATAGCTGTACGGTTCCATGTCGCGATATGCCATGTTCTATCGTGCCATGTCGCGATATGCCGCGCTCTATCGCGCCATGTCGCGATATGCCGCGCTCTATCGTGCCATATCGCGATAGCTGTACGGTTCCATGTCGCGATATGCCATGTTCTATCGTGCCATGTCGCGATATGCCATGCTTTATTGTGCCATATTGCGATAGCTGTCCGGTTCCATATCGTGATATGCCATGCTCTATCGTGCCGTATCGCGATAGCGGTATAGCTCCATATCGCGATATGCCGCGCTCTGTGGCGCCATATCGCGATAGCTGTACGGTTCCATGTCGCGATATGCCATGCTCTATCGTGCCATGTCGCGATATGCCGTGCTCTATCGTGCCGTATCGCGACATGCCGTGCTGTACGGTTCCATATCGCGACGTGCCGTGCTGTACGGTTCCATGTCGCGACATGCCGCGCCCTGTCGTGCCCTGTCGCGATAGCGTGCCTCACCTTGCCGAGCCCCAGCACGAGCAGCGCCAGCAGCCCCAGCCCCAGCAGCGCCGCCAGCGGCAGCACCCACCAGGGCAGCGCCGCCCGCGCCACGCCCGGGTCCAGGTGCAGGGACACCGACATCTGCGGGCACAGGGGCACCGGGGTCATTGGGGTCATTGGGGTCACACCGGGGTCACACCGGGGTCATTGGGGTCACATGGGGTCATTGGGGTCACAGGGGGTCACACCGGGGTCATTGGGGTCACAGGGGGTCACCGGGGGGCACTGGGGGAGTCACGGGGGGATCAGTGGGGCCGTGGGGACATCAGGGGACATCGTGGGGGGCTCTGGGGGGATCCTGGGAGGTTTTGGGGGGTCTGGGGGTGTCAGGAGGTGTCACTGGGTGTCCCCAGGCTGGGGGGGGGGGGAGGGGGCGGGGGGGGGGGGGGGGGACAGGGACCCCCGGGCACCCCTGGGCACCTTTGGCCACCCCTGGGCACTCCTGTCCCTCCATCCCAAACACCCCTGGACACCTCTGGACACCCCCTGGACATCCCTGGGCACCCCTGGGCACCACTGGGCACCCCTGTCCCCCCACCCCAAACACCCCTGGACACCCCTGGACACCTTTGGATACCTCTGGACACCCCCTGGACATCCCTGGGCACCCCTGGGCACCCCCAGGACACCCTCTGGCCACCTTTAGACAACTCTGGGACACCCCTGGGCACCCCAGTCCCCCCATCCCAGACACCTCTGGACACCTCTGGCCACCTTTGGACATCCTTGGGCACCCCTGAACACCCCTGGGCACCCCTGTCCCCCCATCCCAGACACCTCTGGCCACGTTTGGCCACCTTTGGACACCCCCTGGATACCCCCTGGACACCTCTGGCCACCTTTGGACACCCCTGGACACCCCCAGGACATCCCTGGGCACCCCAGTCCCCCCATCCCAGACACCTCTGGCCACGTTTGGCCACCTTTGGACGCCCCCGGGCACCCCCAGGACATCCCTGGGCACCCCTGTCCCCCCATCCCACACACCTCTGGCCACCTTTGGCCACCCCTGGCCACCACCCCGGGCACCCCCGGGCACTGCTGCCCCCCCAGCCCCCCCAGTCTCACCAGGGCGAGGCGCAGGGGGTTGGCCGGGGGGCTGCAGGGCACGGGGGGGGTGCCCAGCTCCAGGCTCAGGGGGTACAGCAGCCACTTGCCGTTGGGCAGCTCCAGCGGCCACTGCACGGTCAGCGCGGCCGAGCCGGGGGCCTTCAGCACCGGCCCCCGCTGCGACACCTGGGGGCACAGCCGGGACCCCCGGCCCGTCAGGGACTGCCCGGGGGAGCCCCCACCCCAATACCAGCCCCTGTGTGGGGACGTGACCCCAAAAACAGCCCCCACCCCAGAAATAGCCCTGACCCCAGGAATAGCCCTGACCCCAAAAACAGCCCCAAACCCAGAAATAGCCCCCACCCCAGAAATAACCCCCACCCTAAAACCAGCCCCTGTGTGGAGACATGACCCCAAAAACAGCCCCAAAGCCAGAAACAGCCCCCACCCCAAACCCAGCCCCAACCCCAAAAACAGCCCCAAACCCAGAAACAGCCCCCACCCCAAAACAACCCTGTCAGGAACCTTGACCCCATTTTGGTTTTGGGTTCCCGAGGAGGGGTCTCTGTTTTTGGGGATCTCATTTTGGGGGTGTTTCTGTTTTTTGGGGTCTCTGTTTTTTGGGGTTTCTGTTTTTGGGGTCTGTTTTGGGGGGTGTCTCTGTTTTTGGGGTCTCTGTTTTTTGGGGTGTCTCTGTCTTAGGGTCTCTGTTTTGGGGATCTCATTTTGGGGTGTCTCTTTTTTTAGGGTCTCTGTTTTAGGGTCTCTGTTTTCGGGTTTCTGTTTTAGGGTTTCTGTTTTAGGGTCTCTGTTTTAGGGTCTCTGTTTT